TTGAACAACTGTGATCAAAACCAAAGTAACCCTATTTGGATCTGTTTTCTAAAAAATCTAAAAAGCCATTTCCACTCTATGTAATTAAAAATAATATGCAACAGAAAACATGTTATATACGCAGTCAATAAAACGCAAGAAAAAAAAATCAAGATGCTAAAATAACTGTAACTGTGGGGGGAACTGAGAATGGTGCCATTTCTGAGTTCATTTTTTTTTTTTTTTGCTTTGGACACAGCAACCCCATTATTATAGTTCTCGCTATATCCTGTTAATCTCTGACAGTATGCACTGTAGAGCTGCAGCAGTATTTTAAGCACAGATGTCAGAACAAACCCCAGTTTGTTATGTGGATGCTGCAGTTCATTGTTGTTATTTCAGATTTTGACAAATTAAACTTTCTGTCATGAGATAACTTTACTGAAGGCAGTTTGACTGGAAAATTCTTTATGCCAGAAAAGGAAATGTATTTAAAGCTCAAACCAGACTTAGACAACTTTTATTGTCATTTTGTACACACAGAGTGAATACATACAGCTTTCATGACATTTCCATTTCTTAAAATTGCAGCAGTGATCAAATGTAAAAAGTGTGTGAGAAAAAAAAACATGATGCAAAAAATGCATTGATATGGAAATTCAGAGCATTAAATATATATAGTGCAATCGTCAGTGTTTTGTTTCTATGAGAGATGCCAAGAACAGCTCAGGTAGAACAGATTCTATCAACTGTCAGTGTGAGAGAATAGCATCTGTACATGATTGAACTTTCAACTATAGCATGAACTGCAAAGCTAAGATGGCGATGAGCGTGGGAGGTTACTGCAAATGAAAATAATAAAGGACATTTTTCTGATTGGGTGTTCTATAAAGACTCATTGGAATATACTTTACTACCCTTAGAACAAGCAGTCCCCCTCTAAACCAGAGGGGGGCAGCAGTGATACGCTGGTGAAAGGCGTTTGCTCACTTTATATTTTAGTTCTTGGCATATTACTATACAGTGAAATTGCTAAGTACAGTGCTTTTCCTTCAAAAATAAGGACATATCAATGTGACCCCAAACTTTTGAACGGGTAGTGTATATAGAGAAACTTTGATGTCTCTGCCGTCATTTAGCAGTCTATAAAATTTAAAAAAAAGAACGCTCGGTGTTTGTGAGTTTCAACCCCCCAGATGGCGCTCCCCGCTGAATGCCGCTTGATTGGAGGAAGCTGTTTTGAAAAGCCCGCCTTGCTGGAAGCTTCCTGATTGGTTGTCAGCAGAAACAGCAACAGTCTGCGCTCTCTGCAAGGATTAAAAAAGCTAGGCGCTCCTGCTGGAGTTTTTTTAGAAAACTATGTCTAGAAAGCATCTGTAAAAAAGAGGGGCCCGGGGAAAGACCGGGGGAAAACCCAGAGAAGGCCAAGGCCGCTCTCCAGAGCCGGGCCCCTTTCCCCAGGGGGGCCGGTTAAGGTGCTGCGCAAAGGCAATAGGGGGGAGAGAGTGGGTCCCGGGCCCCCCCCGTTCCCTGGTGCTGTGCTGGAGTATCGACCGTGAGACCCGGGAGCGGGCTGGAAACGCTCCCCCGCACAACAAGAAGCCGACTCCCCCGTCACCTGCAGTGGCTGTCCGCAACAGAGGAGCTAAAAAATGCTGGGCGGGGTCCCCATCGCTCAGGGCGGCGTGTGCCCAACACCGGCGGTGCTGTCCCCAAGAAGCCCAGAAGGGGCAGCTAAGGCAAGTAAACCCACAAGCCCTGCTGCTGCTGGACACAGCCCCACAACGGCTTTTTAAGAGCCACACACAAAGCTGTAAGAGCTGAAACTCATCTCCCTTCACAATACTTATGGTTAATCTGAGAGAAAAAAATGACTTTTATAGCAGAGGGGTAAATCGGGGGGCTTAAAGGAGATATGCAAAAAAAAAAAGTGTAAAGGGAACTGTCGTTTTGAGACATCCGGGGGCAAGCGTATTAACATACAGTTGTTCCGTCGGACCATTTGGCAAGCCGATTAAACTAATTCGAGCAGTCTCCGAAAAGTGTTGGAGATGGTTGTTTAAAAAAATTAAAAAAAGCCCCCGAAAAAGTTAGTTCAGCTAAAAGGGCAGAAAATTACAGTTTGAGTTGAAAAAGCTGGGTTTGGACCATTACGAGTTACAGAATTAAATTAATATATTGAACGAGATTTAGACTGCAGAGCTTCAGATCTCTTAAATTTTTTTCCCTTTGGCATCATATTGTTAGATGAGAAGTTTGCGGGGATATCCACCATGCATAAAATATATCTCAAAATTTACAAGAAAAAATTGCAAGTTTATATAACTGAACGTGTCCAACTAGGGATAAATATTATTGATGTTGGATTGGTTTTGGTGTTATTCATTTTTTTTACATTATTTTTTTGGGCCCCCTTTGTAAATAATGCATAAAGGCGGCATCTGTCTGAAACTGTAAAAAAAAAAAAAAAATTTTTTTGGGTACTCTTGTTTACATCAATAGTAAAGTATTCAATAAATACATGTTTGAGCTAATTTTGGGAAATAAAAACCCCTATTGAAAACGTTCGGGTTAAGTAACTGCAGACCCATCAGCCCCCACCCTTAGAGCCTCCCCTCATCTTTATCGCAAAGTTACCCCCTTAGGTAAACAAATAAAAGAACCCAAAAAAATTTATCTTTAATGGAAAGTTAATAACAACCTTCCAAAAAACATTCAGTTTCCGAATTACACTTCCACTTTACATACCATTTTAAAAGGATTCAAATGTTTTTTAAAAACTGGATTTTTTTTAATTGATATATGAAATTAACATGCCACATATCGATTACACTGCCTTTAATGGGAAAAATTTACAATAAAAGGATTAATATAAAAAATACAGACTTTTTTTTAAAAGCTTCCCTACAGCTTTTTACGGCTCCCTTTACGTCCGCGTTCATAGACTAAGGCCAACAGCAGCAGTGGACCCTTTTTCTTTGTTCTGCAGAGGAAGACAAATGAGGCAGAGGAAAGGGAGGTAAAGGGGCTGGTAAAGGAGGCGTAAACGTCACCGTAAAGTTCTCCGTGATAACATCCAGGGAATCACTAAGCCCGCTATCCCCCGTCTGGCTCGCCGCGGTGGGGCAAGCGCATCTCCGGCCATCTACAGGGACCCCCGGTGTGTTGAAGGTCTTCCCCGGAAACGTATCCGGGGCGCCGTCACCTACACCGGCACCTAAGAGGAAACTGTGACCCCCATGGATGTGGGGGTACCTCTGAAAAGGCAGGGCCGCACCCTGTAGGGTTTGGAGGTTAAAAAATGACCGCTTCTCTAAACTAAACAAAGGTCCTTTTCAGGGCCGCCCAACTGCAGGGTTAAGAACACGATTCCCTCTTTAATTTTGCTTTATTTTTAGGAAACCCTATACAACGATTTTAATAATAGAAAAATCAACACTCGTGTGTTTTTTTGATGGAGGATGGAATTTTTATTTATCATGGTTTTCCCCTTGTGTATGAATCAAGAATTAAGTCTGTTGCATGCCCCGTTTTTTTAAGGTATATAACATACTTCTAAAGCTGGGGTTTAAGCATTAAAATATGGAATGGGTGGAATCTAATTAAAACTGAAAATTTTTATCACTTAAAATTAAATCATTTTTCCCAAAATGGCATTACGTTTCACCAATTAAGGGAAACATTTTTCTTTACGGAGGAAAAAAAAAAATTTGACTCCATTTTAAACAATTTATATTTTTTAAAAAAGATTGAAGTTTATATTAAAGGGGCCAAAAACATTAAAAATTTTTTCAGCAAGACGGGTTTTAACTGTTTTCATCTGAAATGAAAAATCTGATTACCCCTTTTTTTTTTCCCCGATTAGATCTCGTTAACTTCAAGTAATGTAAAGGAGATGGCAAATTTAAAAAGGCAGGATTTGATCCCTTTAATCAATTTGTTATATCCATTGAAAACCAGATTGAAGTCCCCTTTATTAAAGGCTCCCCAAAAAGATAAAAATTTTTCACCAGAAATGTTCTTTCCTTTTATTTCAATGAACATATTTACTTTTAAATTCCCAGCGTTTAGACAAAAGATGTAAAATAATCTTTTTCGACGCTTTACATTATAGTTTAGGTCTTTAAAGTATAAACTTCCCGAAGCTCAAACAAGTAAAATAAAACATCTCTTAACCAGAAGGATGGAAAACATTAAAGTGAAAAATTGTTTTCACCCCGACTGAAAAATATTTGATTTTATGAACCTTTATATCACTGATTCTTTTTCTGATTTTATCATTTTCTTCATTTACAATTCGAATATTCACTTTGGTGAGAAAATATCTACATAAAGCATCACAGTTATTATTTTTTCCTGGTTGTTTCCCGCCTTTCTTTTCCCTCTATTTTCCCACTGAGCGCAACGTTTGAAAAAGTCACGTGGTTTGTTCTTCAGCTCCACCCAGACTGAGCGGCTCATCCAATCACAGCCAAGTGCTGCTGTAGCTCTTTCTCCATGGCTGCTGTATAAGAACAGCTTGTCCTCCCCTGCAGCTCATTCGTTGCTTCAACTCGAGTAGATCAACATGCCTGAACCCGCCAAGTCCGCCCCTAAGAAGGGCTCCAAGAAAGCCGTGACCAAGAGCGCCGCTAAAGGAGGCAAGAAGAGGAAGAGGAGCAGGAAGGAGAGCTACGCCATCTACGTGTACAAGGTGCTGAAGCAGGTCCATCCTGACACCGGCATCTCCTCCAAGGCCATGAGCATCATGAACTCGTTCGTCAACGACATCTTTGAGCGCATCGCCTCCGAGGCCTCCCGCCTGGCTCACTACAACAAGCGCTCCACCATCACCTCCAGGGAGATCCAGACCGCTGTGCGCCTCCTGCTGCCCGGTGAGCTGGCCAAGCACGCTGTGTCTGAGGGCACCAAGGCTGTCACCAAGTACACCAGCTCCAAGTAAAGCCCTCTGCTCCATCACCGCAAACCCAACGGCTCTTTTCAGAGCCACACACCTCATCTAAAGAGCTATGATCACCTAAACTAAATTTTTATTTCAGTTGTAAGCTATGCTCATGGTAGGATGCTACCATGAGCAACAGGAGTAAAATTGTTTTGATACTCCATTGATACTGTCTCACAGAATACTGATACCTGCTGGACATCTAAAGACACTACAGGAAGTTTTGACAGACTAAATTGAATTGATTTGATTTGAAAATTATAGGTGGGGACTGTCACCACCAGTCTTTCGAAAGTTACATCTGTGGCTGGTACAATGATATGATTGTATTGTATCATTTAATATTGTAGGTTGTATTGTATCATTTAATACCTATGTTTTATTTGAAAATATCTTTGATATTCTTAGATGAAGTCAATGAATGATATAAAGATACCATAATGTGAAAAATTAGGGGAAAATGTGAATGATGATGCCTGTGGACTAGGTTTTTAAATAATAATTTTAAAGCAATAGGTACAGTTAAAACAGTAGTTAAACTAATGCTGCGTTCACACCGGGCGCAGCTGGCGCGACAGAAGCAGCGAGTTTACATGCAAAGTCAATGGTTGACGCGCGTCAAGGCGCAGCAAAATGTCCCGCGGCGCATTTTGAGCAGCAGGCGCAGCACGTCTGAGCAGCTGAAGCAGCGCGTCGCAAACGCGTTGCTGCTCGAGATGGAAAAATTGAATTTTTGCTGCTCGACGCGCCGCGTCAACCAACCAGAGAAGCTGATCTGGGAGCTGGCTGGGAGAGAGACACAGCGCTGATGACACAGAGCGCTGTGATCACTCCTCTGAAACAGTTTATTAACGCATAATTAACTTAAAATATATACATCTGCCGGCAGAATATGTTCGCTTTTATTATTCTGGTGCCTGCAGATCGGATTATTTAGATGAAAAACACCTACCAGCCGCCGCGGTAAACCGCGAGGAGGCGACCCGGCCAGAGGCTGCTGATGAATGGATTCCTTCTGTCTGCGCACCGCCGGTATGTGGGGGTCTGAGCGGCTCCGACAGAGATAACATTGGGAGGCAGGATTGTAATCTGGATGAACTGACGGCACTGATGAAGTTTTCAGGTGTATTTTCTCACTTAAAAACATATTAAAACTACTTTATTCCCACTGATCACAGCAAATATAGCTGCAAGGCAGAGAAAGGATAGAGTAATGCGCGTCAGACACACTTTTGCACCGCGCAGCCAGAGCAGCAAAGCTGCTTCAGCCGCGCGTCAGAACTAACTGGTACAAGCAGCAAAAATGAAGCAGCAGACGCGATTTTGCTGCTTTTGCAGCGTCCGGTCTGAACGTAGCATAAGAATCAGTTTGAAATAAACTTTAATTCAGTAAGTTCAGTAAATAAGTTGACTGATAACATAGAGGAAAAGTATGACACAATGAGAAAATAAAAACGCAACGGCTGAGAGGTTCCTATTCCTTTTAGGCTGCTCCAAAATGCTTATCCTCAAAAGAAGACATTTTCTTAGCAGATGCATCATGTTAGTGAGTCAGTCAGTTAGAAACAATGGATCGTTCACATTAATTTCTTGAAACCACATGCACACCAATACAGTGTTTTCTATGACCTGGACCCATCGCTATCTTTCACATTTCCAAATATATGCTTCTTGTATATGATCAGCAGTTTGAACTGCAGCAATACAATATAGGTGTCCCCCATGCGCAGTAGAGGACGCAATGACGTCACAAGCGAGCGTGCTCTGTGTTTACGGAAGTAAACGTGGATGGTAGTGCTGGAGCGCATCTAGCGATCTTTCCCAACCTTAGCCTGTGCATTAACAACACAATCTTTTCAAGATTGGTTGAAAATAAAGACTGCTCTCTATGAGGTGCCCCCAGGGACATAAATCAGAATTAACTTGCATATACACATATTAAATTACACTCTTCCATATAATATACTGAAAACCTCACACAAACACTAGTAAAAAGCTCTCACATAAACTAGTGAAAACATTTACCTCTTATATAATCTACTCAAAAGCTCTCATACAAAGTAGTGAGAACTGTTCATATAAACTGGTGAAAAGCTTTACCTTTCATACACACTACTAGAAAGCTTTCATATACACTATTAAAAAGCTCTCATATACACTACTAGAACGCTCTCATATACACTATTAGAACGCTCTCATATACACTATTAGAACGCTCTCATATACACTATTAGAAAGCTCTCATATACACTACTAGAATGCTCTCATATACACTACTAGAACGCTCTCATATACACTACTAGAATGCTCTCATATACACTATTAGAACGCTCTCATATACAGTATTAGAACGCTCTCATATACACTATTAGAAAGCTCTCATATACACTACTAGAATGCTCTCATATACACTATTAGAACACTCTCATATACACTACTAGAAAGCTCTCATATACACTATTAGAAAGCTCTCATATACACTACTAGAATGCTCTCATATACACTATTAGAACGCTCTCATATACACTACTAGAAAGCTCTCATATACACTATTAGAAAGCTCTCATATACACTATTAGAACACTCTCATATACACTACTAGAAAGCTCTCATATACACTATTAGAACGCTCTCATATACACTATTAGAAAGCTCTCATATACACTACTAGAAAGCTCTCATAAACACTATTAGAACGCTCTCATATACACTATTAGAAAGCTCTCATATACACTACTAGAATGCTCTCATATACACTATTAGAACACTCTCATATACACTACTAGAAAGCTCTCATATACACTATTAGAAAGCTCTCATATACACTATTAGAACGCTCTCATATACACTACTAGAAAGCTCTCATATACACTATTAGAAAGCTCTCATATACACTACTAGAATGCTCTCATATACACTATTAGAACACTCTCATATACACTACTAGAAAGCTCTCATATACACTATTAGAAAGCTCTCATATACACTATAAGAAAGCTCTCATATACACTACTAGAATGCTCTCATATACACTATTAGAACACTCTCATATACACTACTATAAAGCTCTCATATACACTATTAGAAAGCTCTCATATACACTACTATAATGCTCTCATATACACTATTAGAACGCTCTCATATACACTACTAGAACGCTCTCATACACGCTACTAGAACGCTCTCATATACACTACTAGAAAGCTCTCAAACACACTACTGGAAAGCTTTCATACACACTATTAGAAAGCTAAAATATATGGTCCCCCTCCTTTAATTTAGGCAAACATTGCTCAAATACTGTAAATAAGATTGATCTTATTAAAAATAAGATCATAAGCACTCCTCTATGCGCAATTGTATCTGAGGTAGTCATGGAATCTGAACCGGGTTTAGACTGTTTTGATCCAGTTGAACTTTCTGAATTAGCAAAATTATTGTCTTCATCTAAGCCTTCAACTTGTATGTTAGATCCAGTTCCAACCAGGTTATTTAAGGAGGTATTCCCTTTGATCTCCTCCTCCATTTTAGATGTGATTAATCTATCTCTGTTACAGGGATATGTACCTAAAGCTTTTAAGGTTGCTGTAATTAAACCTCTGCTTAAGAAACCGTCTCTTGACCCAGATGACTTGGTTAATTATAGACCTATATCCAATTTTCCTTTCTTATCTAAAATTCTTGAGAAAGTAGTTGCCAAACACGTGTGCGATCACTTCCACCATAATGAACTTTTTGAAGAGTTTCAGTCTGGCTTTAGAGCTCATCATAGCACTGAAACAGCTCTGGTGAAAGTCACTAATGATATTCTCATGGCCTCAGATAATGGACTTGTATCTGTGCTCGTCCTGTTGGATCTCAGTGCTGCATTTGATACAGTTGACCATAATATTATTTTAGAAAGACTTGAATATTTTGTTGGAATTAAAGGAACAGCACTAGACTGGTTTAAATCTTATCTATCTGATCGATTTCAGTTTGTTCACGTTAATGATAGATCTTCAACATGCTCAAAGGTTACCTGTGGAGAACCACAGGGATAAGTGCTAGGACCAATTCTTTTTACTATATATATATATACTCCCAATCGGTAGAGTTATTGGACAGTAGGGGTGTAAATCACACCCATCATGGCGATTCGATTCAGTATCGATTTCCTGACCCAATGATTCGATTATTTTCAACACTCAAGAATACATCACGATACGATTCGATTCCATTAATTGGTTCATTTTTTAAATTTTTTTTTACCTTACAGGCAAGACAATGTTTTAAATTTTAAATAAATCAATGAAAGCTGTAATATCGTTATGCATTTTATTTTAGAAACAACAGCAAATAACAGAAGTAGAAAAGTTGCAATCCACCTATTCCAATTAAAACCTCGTTCACTGAAAAATAATAATACCCCTGCGTTATAGATTCTTAAAGGCTTTTCATCAAAAAATACTGCACAAAATCAGTGCAATGAGTACAACGCAATACCTCAGCTCCAGACGTCCCCGCCCCCTCCACAGACGCTTTGCTGCACCTCCACCAAATTGTAGCTGACGGCAGACAGCGCCGCAGACAGGAGGCCGGCTTGTTTCGTTTTTATGACCAAAATTGCGGAAAACAACTCGTGAAGTTGGACAAGCTAGAACAGCGAGGTGCGCGAGAACGCTGGGACCCTTTTTCCACCTGGATCTCCGCTCTTCTAGGCCCTCGTGTCCCTCTGTTGTCGGACTAAACTCGCCCCCACTTCCTGTCCGCCTCCGCCGTATCTAGACCCACAGCGTGTAGCACAGACCACCATATTGGGCATAAATCAAAAATGTCTATGACAAGCTCACTGCAACAAACTGCTGTAAGAGTATAACCAGGAAGCGAGGTAGGAGGGCAAAATAGGTTTAGAGCCACCGCAGCACGGGAGGGAGAATTACGTCCAGGAGCAAATGGATAAAAATAGACCGGATGAAAAAAAAAAAAAAAAAACATAAACCGATACTCTTGCGGACGTGTCAATGCATCGGATCATCGGCTGTTGGATCGATGCATCGATACAAATCGATAATTATTTATACCCCCATTAGACAGCATGGGATTAATTTTCACTGTTATGCTGATGATACCCAGCTATATTCAATTCAATCCAATTCAGTTCATTTATATAGCGCCAAATTCACAACACATGTCATCTCAAGGCACTTTACGGTTCAACCAATATATCTGTCTATAAATCCAGATGAAGCTAACCCATTACATAGATTACAGGCATGTCTTGAAGACATAAAAAACCTGGATGACTCTTAACTTTCTCCTTCTGAATGCAGACAAAACAGAAGTTATAGTCTTTGGACCAGAGTCTCTGAAAAAGAAGCTGATTAGCCAGTCACTTCATTTGGATGGGATTAAACTGATTTCAGATAATAAAGTAAAAAAATCTTGGTGTTATTTTCGATCAGGACCTGTCATTTAAATCCCATATCAAAGAGGTTTCTAGAATTTCCTTTTTTCATATAAGGAATATTGCTAAAATGAGAAATCTCCTGTCCAGGGGTGATGCAGAGAAACTAGTCCATGCATTTGTTACTTCAAGGCTGGACTATTGTAATTCTTTACTATCAGGAAGTCCACAAACTGTAGTTAAAAGCCTTCAGCTGATCCAAAATGCTGCAGCCAGAGTTCTAATGAAAATTAAAAAGAGAGATCATATCTCGCCTATCCTGGCTTCTCTTCATTGGCTTCCTGTTAAATCAAGAATAGAATTTAAAATCCTCCTTCTCACATATAAAGCCTTAAATGGCCAAGCTCCATCTTATATCAGAGATCTGATTGTTCCTTATGTTCCTAACAGAGGACTTCGCTCTCAATCTGCAGGTTTACTAGTGGTTCCTAGAATTTCTAAAAGTACTGTAGAATGTGAGGCAGATCTTTTAGTTATCAGGCTCCTCTCCTGTGGAACCAACTACCAGTTTTAGTCCGTGAGGCAGACACCCTGTCTACTTCTAAGGCTAAGCTTAAAACTTTCCTTTTTGATAAAGCTTATAATTAGAGTGGCTCAGGATATCCTGAGCTATCTCTATAGTTATGCTGCTATAGGCTTAGACTGCTGGAGGACATAGGGACCCCTTTTTCATCATTCTGCTTCATTCTATCTCTATTCTCCCACTCTGCAGAATCTGTTAGTTCAATCTCTAACGTTCTGCTCTCTCTGCTTTTTCTCATAGTAGCTTCATCTGATCTGTTCCTGTTTGGCTGTGACGTCATCCTGGAGAGAAACATCAGCTGTGCTGCTGCCATCAACACCTTTGTTTATAGATGCTGGAGATCGGCCTGTTTTCCAGTGTAGTCCTGTTTCTCTGACTGTGACTAACTGGATGTGCTCTCTTCATCCTCTGACGTGGGAGCTGGCTCGGAGCTCATCTGTCTGGCTGTGTGTTTCCTGGATGGGGCCATATAAAACTGTTTCTGGAGCATGTAACAAAAGTAATTTCCCTCTGGGATTATTAAAGTATTTCAGATTCTGATTTACAGCTGCTTTTTGTATCTCTGCTTTGGTCTCCTTGAACCCCAGTCGGCCTCAGCAGATGGCCGGTCACACTGAGCCTGGTTCTGCTGGAGGTTTCTTCCTTTTAAAAGGGAGTTTTTCCTCTCCACTGTCGCTACAAGCATGCTTAGTGTGAGCGATTGCATTTGAGTCAATGAGTCGATGGAATCAACTGGTTTTCCTTAGAAAACTTTGTATCAATTTGACTGGATGATCTGGTGAACTGTAAAGTGCCTTGAGATGACTTGTGTTGTGAATTGGTGCTATAGAAATAAACTGAACTGAATTGCAATTGAATTGCAAAGTTCCTACTCTGGACTTTAGTAAGTATAAGAAATGCATTAATTCTTTTAACCCATTTAAATCTTAATTAATTTATTAGATTTTCTTTAAACTGAGGTGGACTGTATCTGTACATCCTGTCATGCAAAGGATTGTGGTGTTGGGACATAAACCATGATAATAATTTATGACAGTGAGAACCAATATCCATGTTTCCTCCAATATCCATGTTTCCTCCTCTCAGCCAACTGGCTCCACAGGACCCCTCCCAATGGCTCGGTGCCTCGGTCCCCCACAGAGCTGAGAACAGTAAAAAACCACAGCAGAGAGGATTTCTTTCTCTTTCCGTCAAGCTGCTGGGGGGTTCACATTGGAAGAGGACAACACCGTGGCGTTAGGCCCAAAAGGCCCAGATCACCAGAATACCCAAGGATAAGTCATGATGCTTGACAATTCAGAGCCAAACTGCTGAAAATCAGACCTTTTTGCAGCACATTTCACAGATTTTCAGAATTTAGCGCTCACGTTTTTTCTCATATGCTCATTATATTTCAATAACCAAATAATGACCATAAGTTATTTAATGGAATCCTCATGTCTGTTCGCTGCTAGCTATTTCGAATAGGATAAAAACAATCATTTAACTACAGGTTACTGTTTCCTGATTAAGCAAATCATTGAATAGAACATTATTTGGTCAAATAATGTTTTATCCACGTCATGGATTTGCATTGTGAATTGGTTTGAAAACATTGAAATCGCTCTAAATTAGTGGAAAGCTAATTTGATCACATCCCAAATTCTTCAAGACTTTAGTTCTCAAACACAAAATCCATCTTAAGCTGTAATATGGTTTTATACATACAGACACACACATATATATATATATATATATATATATATATATATATATATATATATATATATATATATATATATATATATATATATATTAGGGCTGGGCGATAATTCAATAACGATATATATCGATCTATAGACGTGTGGCGCAATAGAAAAAAAGAGGGTCGATAAAAGTTCGATAAAAAAGAAACGCAGTTTTCCTTCCTTCTCATTGTAGCCTAGCATGTAGGTTTATGCTAGTCACTGCTTCCTCCCAACCAATCACAATCGCGGACCCAGGCACGCCGTCACCAAGCGCCGCCCTCTCAAACCACAACACAGAGCACATGAAGACGCAGCAAGGAGAGGCGGAGGAAATTGTTCCAAAGAAAGGTTTTTGTAGTTCGGCAGTCTGGCAGTATTTCGGTCATGGCAAGTCGGACCAAAAACAAACCAAAGTCATCTGGAAAATGTGTAGGGAAACAGTGAAAACCAAGTCTGATAACACAACCAACTTTTTTTTTTTTTTATCATCTCAGCCGCTCACAGCCGCAGGAGTACGAGCTGTGTAGGCCCCGACGCGGCTCTCCTCCGAGGAATCTTCGGGAAATATATATATATTTTCAGTTCTGGGCAGTTTCACACGTAGTTCTAACAAATGAGATAAAAATGCTGAGGGGCCAGCAACTTCAAAGTAATAACTCAGGTTAAAGCAGGAAACGGGGGCGGCGAAGGGGGGGCATTTATTTATTTGTTATATTTATTTTGGTCACTTTTCTGGTCACTTTAGTTTATTCTTTGTCAGTATTTAATAACATAACTCAGGTCTCTTAAGTTATTTTTCTTTAAAACAATTCTGTTATGGTTAAAAAAGTTGGTTAAATAAAGATTTAATTCGAAGTCTGTGTTTGTGTTTTTTATTAAAATTAAATCATTTAGCAATATTATAAAAAGTCCAGGCAGAGCTGCACATAAAATATGGTTTCAAATCTTTTCAATAATTATCGATATCGATCAATATGCATTTTTTTTATCGATAAGCTTTTTTTGTATATCGCCCAGCCCTAATATATATATATATATATACACACATATGTACATACATACGTGTGTGTGTGTGTGTGTGTGTGTGTGAGTGTGAGTGTGTGTGTGTGTGTGTGTGTGTGCATAAGTGGGAGGGGCTTGTGTGGGTAATATGACTTCAACATTCTAAAACACTCCCTGTGATGTCATCATTTAGAATTCTTTGCCAATTCTCATTGCTTGCTACACCACTGACCAGTTCAGACGTATGCAAAGCGCTTTCCTGTTCGACATTAAAACCTTTCGTTATTAACCCAACCTTTAACAACCGTTTTTTGAGTTAAAATGCCGCATCAAAAGCAGCGTTACTCCAACGGTGGCAGGAGACATCAGCCGTATAGACGGGAAACTGGACAAGATTTGAGACGCTGCATTAACAACAAGCAGCTTGAAAATCATTCCCAGGAAGAAAAGCTAGATAACCAACCCAGCTCATTTCTCAAAAAAACTAGATTTGAGTTGGAAATGCAGAAAAAACAGCCACATGAATGTGACGATGGACAAGATTTGAGACGCCGCATTAACAACAAGCAGCTTGAAAATCATTCCCAGGAAGAAAAGCTAGATAACCAACCCAGCTCATTTCGCAAAAAAACTAGATTTGAGTTGGAAATACAGAAAAAACAGCCACATGAATGTGACAATGGACAAGATTTGAGACGCTACATTAACAACAAGCAGCTTGATAATCATTCCCAGGAAGAAAAGCTAGATAACCAACAACTCAGCTCATTTTTCAAAAAAACTAGATTTGAGTTGGAAATGCAGAAAAAACAGCCAGATGAATGTGACAATGGACAAGATTTAAGACGCCGCATTAACAACAAGCAGCTTGATAATCATTCCCAGGAAGAAAACCTAGATAACCAACCCAGCTCATTTCTCAAAAAAACTAGATTTGAGTTGGAAATACAGAAAAAACAGCCACATGAATGTGACAATGGACAAGATTTGAGACGCCGCATTAACAACAAGCAGCTTGATAATCATTCCCAGGAAGAAAACCTAGATAACCAACAACTCAGCTCTCTTCTCGAATTCGTGAAAGATAAATGGATTGAGGAGAACATAAAGGTAAACACCCTGAAGGAAGAGCTCAAAAAAACTAAAATTGAGTTGGAAATGCAGAAAAAACAGCAATTTGAATCTGACGATGGACAAGATTTGAGACTCTGCATTAAGAAAAGGCAGCGTGATAATAATTCCCAGCATGAAATCCAAAGGCTCAGCTGTCTTTTGGAAAACGAAAAAGCTAAATGGGTTGAAGAGACCCAAAAGGTAGCCGCCCTGGAGGAAGAGCTCCAAAATACAAAATTAGAGTTAGAAAGACAGAAAATTCTCACAGACATGTTGATTAACAAGGACAAAGAAACCAAGAGAAAACTGGTGAAAATTCAAAGCTCTAATGACCCAGAAACTCTCAGCCCTGCGACCACCGCCTCCAAGGTTAACAATGAAACGAAATATAAGACTGAGTTGGAGCAAATGAAGGTCGCTTACCAAGAACTAAAGTCCAGATATGAAACAGACATTTCTGCACTAAAGCAGAAAGCAGAAAAATGTCAACAGGAGAAGGAGAAAAGAGCAAAGTCTGATCTGCAGCTCATTAATGAACTCAGAGCTGAGAAGAACAACCATCAGAAAAGGGCTCAAAACTTTGAATCCCTGCATCAAAAATCCACAGAGATGGTGAAAAACCTGCAAGGTGAACTAGAGAAGGTTCAGGAACTGAAAAATAAGTATGATACCAACGTCTTTGCTCTAAAACGGCATAAAGACACATTCGAGCAGCAGCTTGATAAAGAGACAGAAATGAGGAACAGCCTTAGAGCTGAGAAGGACGCTCTCCAACAGCAAGTCAATTCCCTTCAACAATTGGACTCTCGGTGTGAGGGCAGTTATAAAAGAAAGTTGGAGTATCTGACAGCTGAGCTCGAAGACAGAGATGACCTTGGTCCTCCAAAACGAAAAATGGCCAGGCGCCAAGAAGCAAGATCCCAAAAAGACTCCATCCCTGCGAAAACCACTTCAGACCCTGCGTCCATGGATCTTGACGACCTGTCAGAAGAAATTCCACTTACTGATGTAACCCAGATGGAGCTAGATGAGTTTGTGGAGGAGATGCTGAGAGAGGCAGATATTCTGGAAGAGGAAGCCCGCTCTTAGGAGACCCTGCCAGAGCAGAGGGACAGTCCAGATCCTGAACCAACAGAAAAAGGAAGCTGGGAAAAAAAAAAAAAGATTAAATTATACACATAAAATAAAAAAAAAGCAAAAAAAATAAATAAAAAAGCAAAAAAAAAAAAGATTAAATTATACACATAAAATAAAAAAGCAAAAAAATAAATAAAAAAGCAAAAAAAAAAGATTAAATTATACACATAAAATAAAAAAAGCAAAAAAATAAATAAAAAAGCAAAAAAAAATTAAATTATACACATAAAATAAAAAAGTAAAAAAAAATAAATAAAAAAGCAAAAAAAAAACATAAAAAAAAAAAAAAATTAAGTGTGTGTCTGTGTGCAAATGAATGCACATAGGTGAGTGTGAAGCGTCTCCTGCAGTAGTGTCGAGGTCCTGCTTCGTGCTTGCAGCTCTCTGCATTCAGCTACTGCAGCTGGCATGTCCCTACATTTGGGCTGAAAAGAGGAGCCAGCGTGCGATTCTCCTCCTGCCGGTACATAGCCTCTCCACCACAGAACTCCAAGCAGTGCCTCCACGTGGCCACACACGTCAACTGGGTACTTTACTGTCCCAGGCCAAACTGCAGGGGATCTCGGAACAACAGTGGGCCCCAGAGACGAGACGAGACGAATCCCACCACCATGAGGACGTGTCTTGGCATCCGTCAATCACTGTCCCAGCTATGGGTAAATAGCCTTACTACCTTGTAAGCAGTGTTAAGCACTATAGTTCAAGAAAATAACTAGTCCCCGATTCCTGTTTTGGAACACCTGTCACCGACTAAAGCTGTCCCAAA